TCGAACCCGAGTTACCCCGGGCCCGAGTTACCCCGAATAACTCGGGCGCCCAAGATGACTGTAGCGCCAGCAGCAGCCGCAGAGGCGGAGGCAGAATCACTGCTGCGAGCAGCAGCAGCAGCAGCGGCACCTCCCCTCCTCTGCGGGCTCCTCCGACCCCCGATCGCAGGGCCGGCCTGGTCGGAGCCCTCCCCCTTCCAGTGCACCGCAGAGGCGCCCGCGCCAGCCCCAGCTCGGAGGCGGCCCAGGTGGCCGCGTCCAGCCATCGAGCGGACACCTCTCCAGACATCTGGCGTCTTGGGTATCGGGGGCGGAAAAGAGGGGGGTGATGACTAGGGAGGGGTGAATATCATGGCGTGGGCCATGATGTTTCCCCAGATTTCATGGCGCCTCTTCTTGTTTCATTGCGTCCCTGGCCCCCCCGCTGGGCCGCGCACATGCCGCCGGCCATGATTTGCACCTCTTTGGACACCCCCCTCTTGGCCGCTCCCGAGGGTGGGGCAGGACGGCCAGCCCTCTGTTGAATATCGGCCTCTTCTGGTCAGGATGGGCCGGGAGAAGTGCCGAACGGCTGCTTCTCTGTATGAGTAGCAGCCTCCGATGGCCCGTCGGGGGCCCGGGGCCGACAGAGAAGTCCACACACAAAGGGAAGTTCTCGCAAAGACTGGGGTCGGGGGCGCCGCAGCCGCACGCAGTGAGCACACATCAGGACGTCGGGGTGTGTGGGCCGCTCTGTGCGTCAACAGGCTCTGGTTCCGCAGCCGGGCTTCGAGGATCGCGAGATAAGGCTCGGTGAAGCGACCGGAACATTTTGGTCGGCTCTGCATCTACCTCTTGAGGAGTTGCCCAGACCTTGGGCGACTCGGATAGGTCGCATTGGAGGTTTGTCGTAGTTCTCTGCGTGCGAAAAGCACGTCTGAGCGTTGGGGTGAAAGGCCCGCCCCGGCGAAGGGGTCAATCGCCCCAGTGGCAAGCCATTAAACAAAAAGCAAGTCGTCAGAATCTGGGTCCGTGTGGACATCGCAGAGCCGGATATACTGAGATAGATCTCAGGGGTGTACTCCTCGCACAGAGGCGAGCTTGCGTGAGCCGCACACGTCTACAGCGTCTCGCAGCACGAATGCACGTGCTTGAAGTCGCTCGTCAAGAGCAGGCTTCGGGATAGGCTGTGAGATGGGCCAGCGCTGACGACTGGCACCCATGACATGCTATGTCAGGCACTGGCGACTGGCTCGGTTTAGTTGAAGCGCGCGTTCGCGCCATGGGAGGACGGCCACAGCGCGGGCACTGGACAAGGCTTTCTGCTTGAGGTCCAGACCTTGGCGCCTTCTGGACTCTTTCCGAGGCGAGGTGGGTCAGCCGCCAGACTTGGGACCCCCGATCAAATCCGTCGACAAGGCTCAAGAGGCTTACGTAAGCAATTCCCCCGCCCCCCGAGAGAGGGAGGTCGTGACCACTTCATGGGTTGTTCAGACGCCCCAAGAGGAGGAGAAAGAACGGTACGACGAGGGGAAGAAGGTGAAGGTGGGGGTGATAAGGGAGGAGGAGGAGGAGGAGGAGGAGGAGGAGGAGGAGGAGGAGGAGGAGGAGGAGGACTGTGGTAATCGTTTTTCCTCTGGTGGGTATCTTCGCCTACCCCGGAGCCCTACTCGTGGGGTGGCCAGACGTCTCCTCCCTCTCCTCATCCGTCTCCTGCTCTGCGTAACTATTTCGGCTCAAGGCGGGCTCAGGGTAGAACGGTCGGTCACATCAGTTTGGCTGGATGTGTCTGAGAAGATAGGCGGCGAGATCCCGATTAGATATTTTGGGTCGTTCCGGTGGGCGCTCTGCCATGAGATGCCACAGTTGGCATGATGTGCCATGCAGTGCGTGCGAATCGCAATTCCATATTTAGATGTTGTAGCACGACCCGATATGACATTCCAACCGGCGCAGCGCTTGCAAGGCCGCTCGTGAGTTCTCATGGTCGCATCTGCACTGTAAAGGGACATGTGTCTGAAGGCTCTAACAGCCAGGGCTACAGGTCAACAACCATTTTGGGGAAACACTTTTTCATTCATCGCTTAGTGGCTTGGGCGTTTCTGGAACCACCTCCGCTTGGCCCAGCTTGGCAACTTAATCATATTGATGGAGAGCGTTCGAATAATCGCGCTTGCAATCTGGAGTATGTCACTCCAGCAGAAAATATATCCGACTCGTGGCGACGGACCCCCGTCAGAAAGGGAGTTGTCACAGCTATCGCAACGCCAGTGCTAGCTAAACCTCTTGGCGCAGATTCATGGGCACGGTACGCTTCAATTGCTGAAGCTTCACGCAGCCTTGGATTGTCATCGCATTCGATTTCTAGCTGCTGCAGAGGCAGGCGGGCGCATGTCGGAAACTACGAGTTCAATTACGCAGAACGCAAAGATCAATTGATTCTGCCTGGGGAGGAATGGAGGCCCGCGCTGCATCCGGCTCGCGGTGCACCGTTGGCTTCTTTGGTTGTCAGCTCTCATGGCCGAGTCAGATCGCGCCGTGGCATCATTTCCTTGGGATCCACTGTCGCAGATGGGTACCGCAAAGTCTGTGTTCGCGAAAATGAGCGTATGAGCAGTCATCTCGTTCACCGAGTCGTTGCTCGCACGTTTCTTGGTCCATGCCAGTTTTCCTCGACTTGGATGGTCAATCATAAGGACTGTAACAAGGCGAATAATCACATAGATAATCTAGAATATGTGACGCCATCCCAGAATGTGCAGCATTACCATAGACACAGACCATCTTGTCGGCAGTCATGCGCCGCGGCTTTATGCAAGCCTGTGTTGGGGAGGCGCACCGGACACGCGCACTGGACACGGTACGCATCGGGGAAAGAAGCGGCAAGGGTGTTGGGATTACATGCATCCGATGTATCGGCATGTTGCCGGGGTAAGCGTGAGATGACAAGTCAGCACGAGTTCCAGTTTGTTGTGCAAACATTCACCAGTCGTGATGATGAGGAGTGGCGAAGTGTGGATCTATTAAGTTTGGAGGTGCACAGCCGGATACTGAGAGCACAGTTTTAATATTGTTGCGTGGACCCCACACGTATCCAGACAAAGCAGATGTTTGTTTTTCTTGCGCACATGGGCGAGAGGCGTACCAAAAGTAATTGTTGGCAATTGCCCCCAATGGATGGAACACTGGATATTGTCGTCAGGAAGAGTCTAGGGGAAACAGTGTTTCGGCAGATGCCCCAGGGAGTTCGTTTGCTACGCGCTACGCTACATTTGCATGTGGACTACCCTGCAACCTCGCACTTCCCGCGCAGGCTCCCAAGGGAAGCTTCTGCAGCATCGTAGCTTTCGCATAGAACCCCTGACGCACTTGGCTCTCCCTGCTCCCCCCCTCCTCCTCCTCCGTCTCCCCCCCCTCCTCCCTCTCCCCATGCTGCTTTTCCATCATGCCCCTCTTCTCCTCCTTCTAGTTGCTCCTTCTCATCCGCGAGCGCCCCGCGCTGAGAGCTGGCAGAGCGTGGCCAGGCCAAGACCCAGAGCCCAGGGTCGGTGTGTACGCCCTCCTCGCGATGCCAGGAGCGCGTGTGCGTGTGTATACGGAGAGAGGGGAGAGATTGCGGGCACGCCACGTGGGAAACTTGCCCCGCCAGCAGGTGCCCCGCGAAAGCTGCTCATAAGCCCCCGATGACCCTGAGGGCCCACGGGAGCTCGGGGGCACCGTAGAGCCCTCAACGATCGACGAGCACCAGGATGGCTTCCGGCAGCAAGGAGTCTCGTCGTGTGTGTTTGCTGTTGGTGCGCGCCTCCTGGGCCCAGGATGGGCCTGGGCAGGATCCGGCTCAGAAGGTCTCAGCAGGTCCGCGGCGGAGGTCTCGGGAGGTCCCCCATTGGCCCCGCAAGCGAGGCAACCGCACACACACACACACACACACACACACACACACCAACGCCAACGCCAACACCAACACTAAACGGCAACACATACGAACACGCACACAGACACACATGCGCACACACACACACATGTATATTTTTATATCTATATATGTGTGTGTGCATGTGTATATATATATATATATGTGTATATATATGTAAATATACGCATATATATATATATATGTGTGCGTATGCGTCGGCGGCTAGGCAGAGTCACTGCGCTGGCGATGGGGCGTGCACAGAACGCGAATTGGGCCGCCATGCACGGGGGTGAGGTGGGAGACGCCCAGCACGGGCAGGAGGGAGAAGAACACCGGGCCCGCTCAGAGCGGGGCCAGGCGGCGGCGGGGGGGCGCCGGGGTCGAGGGGGCCAGCGGCGGCGAGGCGGCAGCTGGGGGGCAGGCAGGCAGGGCGGCCCTTCGGAGGCAAGCGCCCAGCGGGGGCAGGCCCAGCACAAGCTGGAGGCAGAAGCAGCGCAGCGTGGCGCCCACGGGGAGCCGAGGACACGAGGGACCCGCGAGGCAGCCCGGGGGCGGCGGCCAGCGCGGGACCACCTCCAGGAGAGGGTTCTCGAGCCTGGAAGCCAGGCAGAAGGCCAGGGAGGGCGCAAAGAAAGGGCACGACGCGCGAGCGCCACAAGCGGGGGAGGGCAGCGCAGCGGAGACGCTCCGTGGGTGCCAAGGTCGCGGCCGACCTGCGAGGCAACCCCGAGGCGGTGCCTGCCCGGCCCACCTGCCGGGGACGCCTTCGGCCGGGCGGGGCAGTCCCAGGGGGGAGCGCAGGCGGCGCCGAGGCAGGGGCGGTCGCGGGGCCACCAAGGCACTTGCGCGAGCCTTCCAGGGCCATTTTAGGGTCATTTGGAGTCGCGGGGCAGGTGGGTCAAGTGGGCCAGGCAGGCTGCGGAGAGTGGAGACAGGCGCGCACGGCGGGCCCAGCTCAGCGGCAGCAGGGCACCCACAGGGAACGCGCACTGACCAAACAGCCAAGAAAACAGCAGCAACAATCACTGACTCAAAACAGACGCCCAATCCCAAGAACGCGAGGGCCAAAACAGAACGCAGGCTCCTCGAGACTTCGGGGTAATTAGGAGATTTTGGGCCTAGGATTTTACCAGGGTGACAACGACGAACGCAAAAACATATCCCGAAATATTTGGCCGATCTTCGAATCCTCGATGAATCCGCGATTTTGGGGTTGGGGATGTGTTTTTTTCTGGGTCGAACAAGAGCAGCCATAGTGTTGAGATTGGTCGCTCTTCGTTGCTCGCGCATCACTGCACACGTCTACCCCCAAGCCCTCGATACCCGCCCTCATCGTCTTCGACCGTGCCCCCTGTTTGGGTGCATCTTCTTTGCCCGCCATGTGTAGCCGGCGCCCCCTGACGCAGGAAGAGGGTGGAGACAGAAAAAGGGAGAGAGAGAGAGAGAGAGAGAGCGAGAGAGAGAGAGAGAGAGAGAGAGCGAGGAAGAGAGGAGGGAACAAGAGGGGAGGGGGCGAGTGTGATATAAGATGACTGAAGATGTAAACGACCTAGCAGGAGGTGGGTGGAAAGAGAAACAGGAGGACTGGCAGGCGGACCCTAACGGGCGGGTCGGCCAGGCGGACCCAATCGGCGAGTCGGGCGAGCCGGGCGGGCGGACCCCTACGGGGTGAGTCCGGCGGGCGGGACCTTGAATCGAGCGTGCGGGCTTCCAGGCAAGCGAACGGGTGGGCCCCAACGGGCGGGTCTGGCGGGCGGGCCCGAACGGGCCAGGTCAGGCGGGCGGACTGGGCAGACGGACCCGAATTGGCAGGGCGGACGGGACATCAAAGAGGGCAGGCGGTGTTCCAGACAGGTGAGCGGGCGGACCCTGACAGGCGGGTCGTGCGGGCGCGGCATTGAAACGAGTTTTGCAAATTTTGGGGGCGTCTCGTGCGAGAGCGCGATTCGTGGACGTCGAGAGCGCAGCGCTTGCGAGAGCGGGATTCTTGAGTAGATTGTGAGAAGGTCTCGGGCGAGAGCGCGATCCTTGAATGAATGCTGGGGACGTATCAGGAGGGAGCCTTTGTTGTTGCAGCCGGGGGGGCCACTCAAACTGTTTGAGCAGAAGGGTTTCCCAGACAGGGCCACAGGATGCGAGCCCAGGGGGGGGCACTTCAAGTAAAAGACACTGGACACAGGTGCGTGATTAGCAATTCTTGTTCTTCAGAAGTAAGAACTAAACAAAAGATGATCCCGACCTTGGTTCAGTGTTGCTGCCCTGCTGGCACCCTCCTGACCAAGTTCCCGACGCAGCGATTTCTCTTTCGAATTTGGGCCCCTGGAGGTCTCCATCCTTTTCCTCGGACCAGATTTCCATGCTACGCAGTTTCTTGGCAGCTCCTGGCCCTGGTCAGGGCCCGCAGAGGCCGCAAATGATTACTAAGAACCACCGTGATGGTTTCCCGACGCGAGGCTTGCAAGGGGTCCAGGAAGCGCGTGCCCTGGCGGGGCGTAGGCAGAAACATAAAGTATAGGATGTCCGCGCGGTTGTTCTGTCGGCGTAGAACCAAACCAAAAATCTGTCGGCGCGAGGCCCCCTCCCCGAAGCCCTTGGCGGCGTTACCCCTGGCGAGCTCCGCGCGCCAAGGGAAGGGGTGTGGGGAAGGTGGTCCAACGCCGACCCGAGAAGCCCGCGCCGACCTCCAGAAGCTCAGGCACACGGCAGGCATATCAAGGAAGACATCGGCCTGCCAACAGGTGCCCCACGGAGATGATTTCACCCCTCGCTGGCCCCGGGGGACCCAGGGAAGCTCTAGAGCACCTCCAGGATCGGGCCTCCCGAGATCGACGAGGACTGTGTCCCAAGATGTCTTGCAGGGCGATGCCTTGTCGTACGTGCCCACTGCGTGCCGCCTGCCCGGGCCCCATCCAGCGAGGCCCACACGACCCGAGCCTGCTCGCGACCGGGCTGCACCCGCCGGGCGCCGCCGACGCGGACGACAGGGAGCAGCCCCTCGCGCGCCTGCTCATCATGGTGGCCGTGGGGGCCGCGACCCAGAAGGCGGGGTCCCCCTGCCCCCTCGCCTCCGCCGCCGCATGCTGCGACACATCACACGTGCTCTCCACCTCGAGGTCGCTGGGCCCGTGCGCGGGCCCGCAGTTCCGGTCCGATCCCTCGCCTGGTCGGTGCTCCCGCGTCGTTCCTGTTCGCTCTTCTGCCCCTCCCGCACTGGCCTCTCATCTCCGCCATCGCTCGGCGGGGCCCACGAGGGGGTGGCGCGAGGGGGGGGTCGCCGAAGAAGGCGGCAAGGCTTCGGAGGAGGCAGAGGGGATGCCCAGAAGCCCGCCCGGCTTCCACGAGGACTTCTCGGGAGCCCTCCGCGCCCGGCTACAAAGCCCACTCGCCTTCTTATATGGCCGCCCCCCTCGAGCCGCCGACTCGTGGGCGCCACCAGGCTGGAGAGGGGTGGCCCCGCTGTCCCTCGTCGTCGTCGTCGTCGTCGTCGTCGTCGTCGGCGTCGGCGTCGGCGTCGGCGTCGGCGTCGGCGTCGGCGTCGGCGTCGGCGTCGGCGTCGGCGTCGGCGTCGGCGTCGGCGTCGGCGTCGGCACCGTCATCGTCGTCGGCGTCGGCGTCGTCGTCCTCGTCCTCGTCCTCGTCCTCGTCCTCGTCCTCGTCGTCGTCGTCGTCGACGTCGTCGTCTGTCGTCGTCGTCGTCCGTCGTCTGGTCTACAGCCGGCGCGCACCTCTTTTCCTCTGGCGACGGGCCTCGATCCCCCAGACTTACGACATCTTGTTTGCGTCCGAGCACTTCACCCCGCCGGTCGTATGGACCTCGCACCGTGGGCTTTTCCATTTTGTCCACGGGGCCCACAAAAGTCTTCGTTGGTTGCGAGCACATTGGGATATTGAGAGCGGGGTGGCCCTTCGGGAGAGGTGCAGGAACCATGCAGGCCACGGGAGGCCAGGGGCCTTCTTAGTAGAAGTCCGTGGCCTGAACTTTCATCATATCCACCCCGCCTTGGGAACCGATGGTTCAGGACCCCCATGAGGCAATTGATACCCGTTGCGTGATGTCCGACCCCGAACCAGACCTCTGGGTCGGTCTGGGAGGTCTCCGCGGCGATCGCGGCGGCCACAAGTCGGAGCAGGGTTATTGACGAGCAGTGGCATGCCCCTTCCCAGCCCTCCCCCCTGCTCTGCGGTGCAGACGTGGCCCATGACTGAGTCTAATGCCCAACGTGGCCAGCCATGTGCTTTTTGTTCGGCGAGGAGGCGATGGCCGCGCAACCGGATGCGGACACCTCTCGGCCCCCACCTGGGCCACAGCTGCTCCCCCCCACCAGGCCCTGGCACATCGGCTCCCACGGACTCGGACTCCTCCTCCTCCTCCTCCTCCTCCTCCTCCTCCTCCTCCTCCTCCTCCTCCTCCTCCTCCTCCTCCTCCTCCCCCTCATCCCCCCCTCTCATCCCCTTCCGCCCCCTCCTCCCTTTCCTCCTCCTCTTCCTCCTGCTCCTGCTCCTCCTCCTCTTCCTCCTCTGCCTCCTCCTCCTCCTCCTCCTCCTCCCCCTCCTCCTCCTCCTCTCCTCCTCCTCCTCCCTCCTCCTCCTCCTCCTCCTCCTCCTCCTCCTCCTCCTCCTCCTCCTCCTCCTCCTCCTCCTCCTCTCCTCCTCCCCTCATCATCATCATCATCATCATCATCATCATCATCATCCATCCCTCTCCTCCT